ACAGGGTCTCCTTGTAGCTCCAGCTGTCCTGGAGCTCACTATGTAGACCAGGCTGGCCTTGAACTCACAAAGATCCGCCTGCCTCTGCCTCCCAGGGCTGGGATTACAGGCGTGCGCCACCACGCCCGGGGACAATTTTTAAAAAATATTTTTTCAAAAAATCCAAGGTGAGGGAGCAAGAAAGTCAGGTGTCGAGCCCTGTCGCACCCCACCCATAACTGCGGGTTTCCAGACCTTACCTTCTCCGCCAACCCCTTCACCCCCAGTGCGCGCCGGGGATCCTCAGGCTCTGCTGCCTTGGGCTGAGCGCAGGGCCCGCCGTGAGACTTGGGCAAGTACGCCGAGCCCGAAGTGGTCTCCCATCTGCTAATGACCTCGTCAAATGCCCAGATGTGCGGATCCTGCTTGGCAGCAGCGGGCAGGGGCGCGGCCACCGTAGACTGGAGAGAAGGTGCGGAAGTCAGCCCAAGACCCCCGAGTCCGCCCTGCCTCCCCGACCCCTCCTGCCTTCAGCCCTGGGTAACCAGGCTCCAAGGCCCCTCCTCCTGTAGCCAGGAGTTGCCAAACCGGAGTCCTTTCCACCCAGGTTCCTGTGCCCTCTTCCAGGTCCTGCCCTGCGCCCAGGGTCCCCGAACCTGCAGAGTGGGCGGAGGAAAGGGGGAGGGTGGGATCCAGTAGTGGGCGACCCCGCTGCTGGTGAGATGCCACTTGCGCCAGGTTCCAGGTACCTCGGTTTCAGAAATGGGGGACCAAGGGGGCCCATATCGCAGGGCTAGGGTCCGACCACCCATAGTCCTACCCCGCCCACCCTGGGAAGTCCAGAAGCCGACTTGTTGTGGCTGTTGCCACAGGTAACCAGGTAACAGAACCCGCCCACCCTGAGCCAGCCAATGAAGAGCCTACCAGAGTGTAGGTGGACCCGGAACTAAGACTGGGACTTTGAGAGCTGAGGATGGAGACCCCAAGGAAGAACCCCCCACAGAGGATCAAGACACATGGTGGGGACGGGGGGAGACTCTGAGAGAGAAGAATTCAAAAAGATGGGGAGAGGAAGTAGGGGGTCAGGCAGGGGAGGGGGTGGGATGCTGGAGACTCCGAGACAGGCAGATTCGAGGTGGAGAGGGAAGCCAAGCGAGGGAACATCCTTTTTCTGCCTGGCGAAGCCCTGGAGTTGCCTCCCCCGCTGCCAGGCCGAGCCCACCCCGGGGTAACAATTTCCAGACAGCTCTGGATTCTTCCCTCTTCTGTAAGGGGGCCGAAGGCCCAGCGTCCCCCGTCCTGTCTGCCTTTCATTTGGCTGAAAACTTCCACCTGGGTGTGTGGAGGAGGGGGCGGGGATACACCGGGAAGCACTTAGCAGGGAAGAGGGGCCTGGGCTACTCACCCACAGACAAGAGACACAGGAAGTCAGAGAGACGGAGAGGGAGGTGGTTAGAAAGACAAGGAACAGAGTGATTCTCACAGCATGGGGGCGGGGGCAGCCTAAGCCTGCCCAGGAGCCCAGTTTCACTCAGGGTCTGGGAAGCTGGGCTTCAAAGAATATGTTTACCAACCCTGGGGAGGCTGGACGCTAGGGGGTCATGAGTTCGAGTCCAGCCTGGTGATACAGGAAGAAACCGCTATCCCTTAACACTGGCCTCACAGTGAGACCCTGTCATCCCAGCTCTCAAGAGAGTAAGGTCATCCTCCCCTACATAGCTAGTTCTAGGTCTGCCTGAGTCATGAGACCCTGTCCTGGAACACACACACAGACACACACATACACACGGATGTAGCTTGGTTAATGGAGTGATTGTTTAGCTTGCAGGAACCCCATACCGAAAGGGTCTGAGGCCAGCCTCAGCTGCATCAGACCCAGACTCCAAAGCAAAACCAAAAAAATCTAGGGTCTATTCTGGATGTGAGGTAATGGTTTGAACAGGGAAGGGGAGTAGAAATCAGACCATGTTGCAGCCCCTGCCTGGACCCTCTCACACATTTTTTTTTTTTTTTTTTTGGGACAGGGTCTTGTGTAGTCCACGCTGACCTGGAACCCAATATTTCACCAACAATAACCTTGAACTCCTGATCCTCAGGCCTCCACCTCCCAAGTTCTGACATTACAAGCATGCACCACCATGCCTGGTTTATGCTGGACTGGGGATGGAACCCAGGCCTCTGTGCATGCGAGGCAAGCACTCTACCCACTGAGCCACATCTCCAGCTCACTAGCACCTTCTGAGGTATTGTCCACTTCTTCCTCTGGCTAGAGTGGGCCAGGGGCCTCTGAGGTTGGATGGTCAGTGACTCAGGTGGTCAAGCCCACAGGAATTGGACTTAAAGAGTCATGTATTATGGCTGATACACAGTAGACAGCAAACATTGGCTACTATCATCATCATTAGTACTGTGATGCTCTTCCAGAACTCCTATGCATCCTCTGAAACCCCATTTGGTTTCAGCACATTCTACACAGATTGAGAGATTTAATTGTGTAGTCATTTCAGTTCCTAAACAGAAGGCACGTAGAGCAGCCAGGCCAGTCCTGAGGTCCCTGGGCATCCAGCTCTCTCCTTTCCCCAGCCTAGGGAGTTCCTAAGCCTGGGCCTCAGGCCCTGCCAGTTCTGCTGAGGAGCGTGCAGACGCAGGCTGTGTCGATCCTAATCCAGCGCCAGCCCACGCGGCCCTGCGCGTCCGCGGTCAGCGCGCGCACATAGGACTGCTTGGCCTTGCATTCCGAGAGCCAGTGCCTCCGGTCCACGCCGCGACAACCCCCTCCGCCCACTCCGGGTCCTCCTTCCCCAGCGCTCTCGGCCTTGCAGCGTGTCTCGAAGAAGTACTGGCGCAGGGGGCTGCCACCTGCCGCGGGCACCTCTCCCAGCACCTCCACCTCGCGCCCACGCAAGTCCACGGCGGTCCTCCGGTCGGTCACCCAGCCACTCACTGCGTCGCACACGGCCAGCTCTCCCCGGCGGCTCACGGGCGCTGTCTCGCTCACCCCACGCCGGCTGCGGTTGGCTGGGGCGCCCGCCGGTTCCCCAAAAGCCCCGGCCTCCAGCAGAAAGAGAAGAGGGGGTCCAGCAGGGGCGCCCCTTGACAGGGCCACGCGGGGAGATAGAAGGTCCCACTCAGGGGCCAGAAAGGGGGGCAGTGTGGAGGATGGGGGGTGGGGCTCCATGGGGATGCTGGGGAGGAGGAAGAGGAAGAGGATGAGGAGGGAGCAGGAGGGATGAGGGCGCATGGCTGAGCACCTAAAGAAAGGAACAGAGAGGCTGGCCTTTACCTGGGGAACAAAGTAAGGGGACCCCCCCCAGGACGACCTGCTGCGTGGCAGACTTTGAAAAGCCCTTCTGCATTTTAGAACCCAGGGCATGTTGTCCCCTTCTAAGTTAACAATAATTATCCAACTAGTTTAAATTAATAGCCAAAGCTAAGTGTGGGTGTGCACTCGTTTAACCTCCCCATTCGGGAGGCAGAGGCAGGATGGCCCCAAGCTTGTGAGCCAGCCTGGTTTACATAGCGAGTTCCAAGCCAGTCAGGAATAAATAGCAAGACCTGGACAATAATAAATAAACAATAATAAATAAATAAATAAATAAATAGTCAATAGCCAAGCACAAGGAGAAATACGGGCTCAGGGAAGTTCATGTTTTCTCCCAGGTCATACAGCCAGCCAGTGGTACAGGCGGGATTTGAACTCAATAAAGCCACATGTCCACCACCACCACCCTCATCTCCACCCCTATGGATCACCCAGAGGAACCCTTGAGTCCTGCCACTTGCATGGCCTCGATTTCCCTACGTGTGATCTTGACTCAGGGGCTTCGAGAGACTGGGAGAAAGATGGAGATACTATTGTTTTTCTAGAACATTCCAGAAGCAGGTGAATGGATACCAGACCTGTCAGCAGCGCCTCCTCCAGCTCCGTGCTCTGGGGCTGGGGGCCCCCAGGCTCTGTGGGGCCCCTATGGAGGAGGATACAGGTGGTTCCCTCCCTGACATCTCAGGAGAGGGAGGGAAAAACCACCTGGAATGGAAGGAAACCAGTTATATAGGCAGGTGGGGGGAAAGCCCGAACCCTTTCCTCCCAAATAAAAACCACACCTCTTCCCAGAGGCTTTGGAACGCCTAGGGTACCCCGGAGTCGAAGCCCTGCCCCCTTCCAGAGCCCCTCCCTCCCCGTGCAGGTGACTGCTGGGGCGCGGATGGCAGGCTGCTGGGGGGAGCGGAGAGGAGGGGCAGGTGAGGCAGGCTGGAAAAGATTATTGCATTCCCTCCTCGCGTTCCTCAACCAGACATGGCGGGGGCAGGGCCGGCCTGGACACCCCAGGTCCCTGCCGGCCCACGCTCAGGGCTCTGGGTCCCTGGGGCTGCTTCCTGGAATGTTCGCTCCCCGTAGGACAGGCCAGGGCCCGCCCAAGACTCTGACTGCGCATACCTGGAACGTCTGCCTGGCCTGGCTCCGAGATGGGGGAATGGGAAGTGTGGGGTGTGCACCGGGGCAGAGACTGACCGCCCGACACCGGAGTGCGGGTGCCTGCTGCCTCTTCCTGGGGTAGGTGTCCAGGTCCCACATTGCCTCCTTCCTTAGACATAGGGGTCCAAGCCCCCAGTGCCCCCCTCTTGCAGATTGGGTGCCCTGGTTCCCGGATCCCCCTCTTGCAGACTGAATGTCCTGGTTCCCAGCCCTCCTCTTGCAGACTGGATGCCCTGGATCCCTGATCTGCCTCTTGCAGACTAAGTGGGTGTCCTGGATTCCTGATCCCCCTCTTGCAGACTGGCTGGGTGTCCTGGTTCCCAGACGTCCCCCTCTTGCAGGCTAGGTTTCTTGGACTCCAGTAGCCTCCTCCCCCAGACCCAGGTGTTCTCGTGTGGCGGCCCCCTCCTCCAAGATGCTCAGAAACGAGGACTCCCCTGCCTCCTCACCCCGGAAAGTCCCCGGGTCGGGGATCTCTATTACTGAGTCCGAGCTAGGGAATCCGCTCCACCTTGGAGACCTGCGGTCCTGCCTCAGTTTCCTCCGCCAAGCCCCACCCCCTGCCGGCCCCGCCCCCGACACTCCCTACCCGGGGGCCGGGCGACCCGGACGCGGGAATCTGCGGGGAGGAGGCGCGGAGCTCTTACCTGGGGCGCCCTTCTCTGCTCCCTGGCTGCCCCTGGGCTGCGGCTCCTCCTCCCGCTGCTAGCAGCAGGGACGCCCGCTGGTCGCCCGCTGCTCGCCGATTGCGCCTGGGAGGGCCTGGGTCTGGGGCGGGGGCGGGGCGGCGCCGGAGCGAAGGAGGGGCGGGGGATCCCGCCGTGCACTCGCGTGTCCAAACCTCGGAAGCCCGGCCTGGCCGCCGCAGTCCCCAGAGTCCAGGCCGCAACCCTCCTCCTCAAACACAGGAGTCCAGACCCCAGCCCTACTCCCTCAGACCCAGGGATCCAGACCCCAGCCCTCCTCCCTCAGACCCAGGGATCCAGACCCCAGCCCTCCTCCCTCAGACCCAGGGGTCCAGACCCCAGCCCTCCTCACTCAGACCCAGGAGTCCTCCCCAGTCTCCTCCCTCAGACTCAGGGATCCAGACCTAAGCCCTCCTCCCTCAGACCTAGGGATCCAGGCCCCAGCCTCCTCCCTCAGACCTAGGGATCCAGACCCCAGCCTTCTCCCTTGGACCCAGGGTCTAGACTCTAGCCCTTCTCCCTCAGACCCAGGGATTCAGACCCCAGGCCCTTCCCTCAGGCTCAGGAGTCCAGACCCCCAACCTCTTCCCCCAGCTCCCTTAGGTCCCAGCTCTCCTACCCCAGACCTAGGCATCTAGGACCTATCCCTCCTCCCTCACACCCAGGGAGGGGACCAGGCCCTATCCCTCCTCCATCAGACTTGGCAATCTGGAAACCAGCCTTCTTCCCTCAGACCCCAGCCCTCCTCCCTCAAACCCAGGGTCCAAGCCCCGGGCCTTCTCCCTCAGTCCTGGGTTCAGGCCTGAGATTGCTGTGGTGTCTGCAGCAGGTTCCCACTCTCTGTTCCTATCCCTCCTCCCTGGATCTCTCTGCCAGACATTAGCCAGCTGGGCTTGTGTAGTGATAAGGCTGGACGTGGGGAGACAGTGGCTGTGCCCCCACATAGTCCTCTGTTCTGGAATTTCCTGGCTGGGGACCAGGGAAAAGGTCTTGCCTTTAGGTTGAATAATAAAAATTCAAGGTAATCACAGGCGTGAGAAGATCATGGTGGGCTTTAAGAATGGGAGCTGCCGGGGTTGGCGAGATGGCTCAGTGGTAAGGACACTGACTGTTCTTGCAGAAGACCCAGGTTCGAATCCCAGCACCTACATAGCAGCTAACAACTGTCCATAACTCCAGTTCCAGGGGATCTGACAGCTCTTCTGTCCTCCGTGGGCATTGCAAGACACAGGTGAACTTACCTACATGCAGGCAATACATGCATACACATAAGATAGAAATAATAAAATATTTTTTAAAAAAAGAATAGGAGCTGCCTAGGCAAACCTATCTGACAGATACTGAAGAAGAAAAGACAGAGCCAGAGGAAGGGGACAGAGACCCAGCCAGAGAAACAAGGTTCCCAGAGGGAGGGATACACCCCAAAAGAAGCAGACTGTAGCTGGACGGTCCCCTGGGTGGCTCTGCCACACTCCCACACTCCCACTCTGGGACTCCAGCTCCCCTTCCCCTGAGCTATTTTTAGGAGGAAACCTGACACTTGCCTTGGGGTGGGGGTCACACAGCTCCTGTCCCCCAGCCTAAATATAGCATGGCAAGGTGGCAGAAAGGGTATCCCCGGATTAGGGTGTTCCCCTAGAGTCCCCATCCCAGCCAGGGTGACTCAAAGTGCACTCCAGTTGTTTACTGGAGGTGGGAAGGGACACTTCCCAGCCTGGGTCACCTCTCTCTCTTTCCAGATACATCTCCATCAAGGGACTCAAGCTCCAGTCCCAGCAGGACAAAGGGAGAGAGGGAGGAGTCTGCAAAGAGGCCAGGGGGAGCCTCAGTCCCCTCTCTTGGGTCTCTCTCTCTCTCTCTCTCTCTCTCTCTCTCTCTCTCTCTCTCTCCTCCCTCGCTCTCTCTCTCTCTCTCTCTCCCCCTCCCTCCCTCCCTTCCTCTGGGTCTGCCTCTATCTGTCTGTCTCTCTCCCTGGGTCTTGGTCCCTCTAGGTCTCTGTCTTCTTTCTGGGTCTGACCCCCTATCTCTTTCTCTCTGTCTCTGTCTCTTCATCCCTCCCTCCTTCCCTCCCTCCCTCCCTTCCTCTGTCTCCCATTCCCTCTAGATCTCCGTCCTTCTTTCTCTGGGTCTGACCCCCCATCTCTGTCCTCCTCTCTCTCTGTCTCTCTTTCTCTCTTTCTGTCTCTCTCTCTCGACCTCTGTTCCCCTCCCTCTGGGTCTCTGTCTCTCTGTCTCTGTCTGTCTCTCTCTGTCTCCCATTCCTTCTAGATCTCTGTCCTCTCTCTGGGTCTGACTCCTACCCTGGGTCTCTGTCCTCCCTCCCCCATCTCCCCATCCTCTCTTCTGCCTGACAGCTGTCCTCTCTCCCTCTGGGTCCATCTTCCCCTCCCTGGATACTATGACTGAGTCCAGGTTCCACATCTCTGTCTTTGGTCCCTGTGAGCAGGTCAATCTCCATTTCTGTGACTGAATATGACTTTTTCTGGATGTCAGAATGAAGTAACCACTCTTGGAGAGTCTGTCTTTTCCACAACTGTCACACTCAACACTGACCGCTCACTTTTTCTCTGGTATGACAAGGTGGCTGGTAGCAAGGAGTTTTCCCCCAACGCCCCCTTGTTGCTGTCTGGTGGCTGAGATGGCTCAGAGGAGCCATGTCATCCCAGCCAGTCCCCCTGTGATGCTTCACCCTTGAGTCTTAAGCAAGAGTTCATATGACCAAGTCAGGTGACATTGTTATCAAAAATAACACAGCACTCAGTAACAGTGGACAGGTTTTAATAAGTTAATACCAGTCAAATACCTTGAACACTGTGTTAGTGATTCTAACCTCCCTCCTCTTCTCTAAAATGCTCCTCTGTCTCGGGGGACTCTGAAAATATTTCTCTTTGTAGCCTAGGGAAACACCATCCCCTCCAAAGTGTCTTCTTTGTAAGACGAAGGGCCAGTGGCCTCGGTCCCTGCGCACTAGAAGCTGTGGGGGCGTCACAGGCAGGCCACCTGGCCCTGTGACGTGCTGTGTGACCTTGGCGGGGAGAGCCACAACCCTTTACAGCCTTGAATTTTTGCCCTGGAAAACACAGATCCCCCCCGCCCGCCCACCTCCGGAGTGTGGCGACCTTCCTGGGTAGTTGGGGATGATGATGTCATGACTTAGAGGCCTTTACAATGAAGAGAAGAGGGTGACCCATGGGCTCAGGGTCACCATGGTTTTGCTCTCCTCTCTCTGTCTCTCTGTCTCTGTCTCTGTCTCTGTCTCTCTCTCTCTCATATTTAATTTGAAGATATGGGATCTGTCTTCATTTGGTGCCTGTTTTTCAGTTTCTGTCGCCTCTCTTTCTGGGTCTCTGTCTGTCTCTGTCTCATTCTCTCTCTCTCCCTCTCCCTGGGTCTCTCTCCCTCTGTCTGGGTATCTATCTATCTATCTATCTATCTATCTATCTATCTATCTATCTATCTATCTAATCAATCATCTATCATCTATCTAATCTATCTAGGTCTCTGGGTTTCTTTGGTCTCTCTGGGTCTCTCTGTCTCTCTGTCTCTCTCTCTCTCTCTCTCTCTCTCTCTCTCTCTCTCTCTCTCTCTTTCTGTCTGTCTCTCTCCAGTCAGGGAGACAGAAACTACTGGTCTCTATGGTGAACATCCCAGGCAAGCTTGTTCAGTGGGCCACACAAGTGCACAAGCCCACACTTGCTTCGTGACTGAGAGTCAGACCTGGTGCTGTGACCCTCACACACAGTTAAATTCAACTCAACATTCCTACAGAACTCACAGTGACACCAGGGACATGACCCTGTGAGACCAAAGCAGTCATCAAATCCAACTCCAGTCTCCATGAGACTCACGTGACCACACAGCTCAGCTCACATCACAGAGAATCTTCTAACTCTCCGGAGTCTCTGGCCTCCCCCAGGGTCTCTGAGTCTCTGGCTGTGTTGTCCCCTCCTCCCCGACCTCCTGGCCAGGTCTCACATTCCAACCTAGCCTGATCCATCAGAACCCAGAGTGCTCACGTTCTGTCTCTATGAGACTCCAAAGCTCACAGAACCTGAATCAACACCCGTCCTAGAAGAGCAAATTCATACACTCTTCCATGAAACTCTACATAATGCCATCAATCATGACCATGTAGCCACACAATCCCTCCTAATAATGCCACAGAACCTCACATCATACAGTTGAATGAAACATACCCACACTCACCCCTAACGGCGGACCCCACACAGACCCAGGAAAATCACCACTGGATATGACCAAGCCTTTTTCAGCACTGCCCCAAAGGGCTCCCTTGAGCTTTGCCCAACCCTGCAGTATACACCAGTGGGGAAGCCCTGGGCTCACTCCAAACATGGCCATTTATGCCCCCATGGAACTATCACACAACAGGACCCAGTAGACTCTATGTTCCCCTTGCAAATCCATTCACCCTAGTCCTTCCTAAACCCAGTCCCTCCCCTGCCTCCCTTCCTCCCTCCCTCCCCACTGCTTCCTGCAGACCTCAGCTGTCCCTCAAACCTCAGTCACCAGGTGTTTCCCAGGGGGAGCCCAGAGTGGAGGGAGAAGTTCAGGCACCTCAGCGTCCACCAGGCTCCCATTTGCTTTGCCCTCCAGTGTGCCACAAGGTTGCGTGTCCACGTGGCTGTACATCCCTGCCTCTTCGCCCTCTGTCTCCCGGTGATAAAAGTAACTGAAGTTGGAGACTATCACAGGCACAGGCAGAGAGATGGTGAGCACTCCCGCGATGGCACACAGAGAGCCCACGATTTTGCCGCCCACGGTGACAGGTGCCATGTCTCCATAGCCAACTGTAGTCATGGTGACCACTGCCCACCAGAAGGATTCTGGGATGCTGGTGAAATGAGTGTCCACTCGGTCCACTTCAGCAAAGTAGACCGCACTGGAAAAGAGGACCACACCGATGAAAAGGAAGAAGATGAGAAGACCCAGCTCACGCATCGAGGCCCGCAGTGTCTGACCCAAGATCTGTAGGCCCTTCGAGTGCCGGGACAGCTTGAAGATTCGGAAGACCCGCACCAGTCGGATGACCCTTAGGATGGCCAGGGACATGGCAGGCTGACCCACACCCCGCTGCCGGGCTAACTCAGTGCCCAGAGCCACAAAGTAAGGCAGGATGGCCACAAAGTCGATAAGATTCATCACGTTCTTGAAGAATATGGCCTTGCTTGGGCAGGCCACCAGGCGCACCAGCAGCTCAAAGGAAAACCAACAGATACATAGAGTCTCCACCACGAAGAATGGGTCATTGAAGGGTAAACGGGGAGGTGTTCCCGGCATGGACATGGAGCCATTCACCCGAGCGAGGAACTGCAGGGGAGACAGAAAGGGGTCAGGAGGGCCTGGCCAGGGCTGAGAGTCCAGCAACTTTCATTATGGTTTGACTGTCTGAGCACTCTCAACAGATTGACCAGGCCACAGTCCCAAGGTCCTCAGTGATTGACTGTCTTACATAACTTCTCAGAACCCCAGGGACTGTCTCTGGACCACTGACTTTCTGATCTGCAGACCTCTGGGCAGCTGGAAAGGTGGAGTCCCTCCTGGGCTTTAGTGGCACAAGCCTGCTGTCTAGGGTATTCCGAGACTGAGGCGGGAGGAGGGAAGTCAATGCAAGTTTGGGCACCTTACTGAGACTGTCTCCAAAAAGATGGAAAGAGGGCTTAGGGATGTGGCTCATCATTAGAGTCCCTGCCTAGAATCCCCCAGTGAGGGTGTAGCTCAGTGGTGGAGCCTCTGCCTAGAATCCCCCAGTGGAGAGTGGGGCATGGCCCAAAGCTAAAGCTTTGCCTAGCATCCACCAGTGAGGGGCTGGGGTGTGGCTCAAGGGTAGAGCCCCTGCCTAGAATCCCCTAGCCTTTCACCCGGGTTTGGCAGGTGCTCTACAGATGAGCTACATTCCCAGGCCTTGTTTGTTGTTTGTTTGTTTATGACAGGGCCTCAGACAGTAACGGAGGCTGGCTTTGAACTCGTGGGAATCCAGTCTCAGTGTATACACACACACACACACACACACACACGCAGAAATGGATTCATACATGAGTCACCTTACTGTTTACATCTTTGATTTTTGGTGCTTTTAGCCCACCCTTTTCCACTCCTTCTGGTGGGCCACGTCTTCAAAGACCTCCTCCCTTTCTTTTCCAATCCCTGCCTCCCCACCCCTCATCCTGTCTTCACTCACTGGTGGATTCTAGGCAGATGCTCTACCTTTGAGCTACATCCCCAGTCCTTGTTTGATTATGAGATAAGGTCCCACACAGTATCCCAGGCTGGCCTTGAACTCGTGGGAATTCCCCTGTCTTAGGGCTTCCCCCTATTCCTCCTATGCTGGGATTCACAAAGGTGCTCAACAGCCGGGCATGGTGGCAAACGCCTTTTAATCCCAGCACTCGGGAGGCAGAGGCAGGCGGATCTCTGTGAGCTCAGGGCCAGCCTGGTCTACATAGTGAGTTCCAGGACAGCTGGGACTACAGGGAGACCCTGTCTCAAAAAGACCAAAACAAAAAGCAAAAACAAAAACAACAACAGAACAAAGGTGCCCACCATATCCGGTTTACGTCTTTGATTTTTTTTTTTTTTTTAAGTGCTTTTATCCTTCTGCCCTCTGACACGCCTTCTGATTGGCCAGGTCTTCCAAGGTGCCTCCCTGTCTCTCCCAATCCCTGCCCCTCTCCACCCGGGCCCCGCCCCTCACCGGGCCAGTGGCCACCGCAGCGAGCCCCGGGTCCTCACGGTCGTCGCGGAAGTCTGGCAAGGTCTCGAGGCAGAAGACAACGATGGAGACCAGGATGACCAGCACGGAGACCACGGCGAGCACGCGCGCAGCCTGCGAACTCTCGGGGAACTCGAAGAGCAGCCAGAGCTGGCGCGCAAAGGCGCGGCGCGGCAGGGGCCGCTCTGGGGGCACCGCGCAGCCCTCGTCCTCCCGCAGGCGCGCCAGCGCCGCGGCGCCCAGCCCGTAGAAGGACACCTCCTCCAGGAAGACGTCCAGCGGCACGTGCGCGGGCCTCCGCAGCCGGCCACCCGACTGGTAGTAATAGAGCACGGCGTCAAAGCTGGGCCGGTGCCGGTCGAAGAAGTACTCGCGGCGCGCACCGTCGTAGAAGCGGCTGCGGCGCACTGGGTCCCCGAGCAACGTGTCCGGGAAGCGGCCGAGCGTGCGCGCCCGGGTCTCGAAGCGCAGCCCGGCCACGTTGAGCACCAGCCGCTCGCAGCAGCCGCAAGGAGGCGGGCACCGCGGCTCCATGGTGCGCGCACAGCCCTTGGAGAACCCGCAGTCGGACGCTCGGACGGACGGACGTATGGCCCCCGACGCCCGGCCACCGCCGCCACCGCCGCCTCCCCAGCCCAGGTGTCCGGTGTCCGTGCGTAAAAATAGCCTAGAAAGTGCGGCCAGGGCGCGGGGGAGGGGGCGCGGTGACCCCGCGGGGCGCAGGGCACAGGGCGCCCTCTACCGGAGCGGGTGCCTGCAGTCCCCACCGTCACCCGCGTTTCCACTGGTCTCGTCCCTGTGCAGGAGAATCTGAGTTCTCTTTTATGGTCATCTAGTTTATTTGTTTTAATTTTATGACACAGGGTGTTAGGTAACACAGAGTGGCCCAGCACTCTATTAACTGAGGATGACCTTGAATTTATGATCCTGTCCATTTCCTAAATGCAAGCATGGACCACCACGACCAGTTGTATTATATTGCATTGTAGCTGCAAGCATGGACCATCACGGCCAGTTGTATTCTATTGCATTGCATTGCGTTGCATCCTGTTGCATTGCATTGCATTGCCAAAGGATTTGGGTATGTAGTAGTTTAGACTAACCTCAAACTCTGCCTGACGATCCTCCTGCTTCACCCTCCTCATTGCTGGGATGACAGCCTTGAGCCACTACTGCTGGCTACAGAATCTAGTTCTCTCACTCGCTTGCTCTCTCTCTCTCTCTCTCTCTCTCTCTCTCTCTCTCTCTCTCTCTCTCTCTCTCTCACACACACACACACACACACACTCCTGTCCTGGAATGTCACCTTGGGTCTCTGTTGGGCATGTGTGGGTAGTGCTGGTCATCTCTCAACTCTGCTGTTCTGGGGGGCTCTGTACTGGGATGACAGGTGTGGACCATCACACCTGGCTTCTTTGCTGGGTCTTTCCTGGATTTCTGCGAGTCTGGCCTCATTCCTGAGTTTCTGACCATCAATCCTAAGGACCTCTGCAACTGTCCCGATGCTTGCCGAATTCTCAGGGCTGCTTTGGCATCCTTTGGCATTGCGGTGTGTGCCCTGTCCCTGGCCACAGAGAGCCCTGGAGTCTCCACTTGGATTTTCTGCAAGAATGTTTTGAGATTATCAAGGCCTGAACCCAAGCCCAGGATGGTGCCAAAGGAGGCGGGGTTTGTCAGGAATGGTGCGCAGCCGGCGGGGGAGATGCACAGGGTCACTGTCAGGAGCCGAAGGGCAGACAGAAGATAGCCTTCCAACCACCGGTGTCTCATGACACCGGGTAAAAATAGTCCCATCAGATGGGGTTGGAGGTAGTGGAGACCATCGAACCCCTAGTCACTATAGAAGGGGGTCCCGCGCGCCCTCTGCTGAGGGCATGGAGACCTGCACCAAGAGGTATATTTCCACTCTCCCCACCCCATCCCCCCCTGATTCTGGCACCTTCCCTTCCTAACCTCACAGAGCCTCATATCTTTCTGGGAGGCTGTGTCTCTCCCTCTCTGAGTCTGGGTCTATATTTTCACTATCTTGGTCTCAGGCTCCCCCGCTCCTCTCCATCCTTCCATGTTTTTTTAAAATATTATTTTTAATTTTTATGTGTGTGAGTGCATTGCCTATATGTAAGTGCACCTGTGTCATGAAATGCTTGAAGAGTCCAGAGAGGGCATTGGGTCCCAAGGAGCTGGAATTATGGACAGTTGTTATCTGCCATGTGGGTGCTGGGATTCGAACCCAGGTCCTCTGCAAGAGCAGCCAGTGCTCTTAACCCCCAACCCATCTCTCTAGTCCCACTTTCATGGTCTTTGACCCTTCATCTCTGATCTTTCCCATCTCTTTGTTTGTGGTGTGTGTGTGTGTGTGTGTGTGTGTGTGTGTGTGTTGTATGTATGATGTGATTGGGGTGTGCTCTCTACAGTGCAAGTGTGGAGGTCAGAGAACAACTCTGTGAAGTTGATTCTCTCTTTCCACCTTTATGTGGGTTCCAGAGATCAAACTCAAGTCACCAGGCTTGTATATCAAGCATTTTACCTGCTGAGCCATCTTGCCAAAACCTATTTTTACTTTTTCTGTTTTTTTTTTTTTTTTTTTTTTTTTTTTTTTTTTTTCTGTCTTTTTGAAGCAGGGTCTCCCTGTAGCCCAGCTGTCCTGGAACTCACTATGTAGACCAGGCTGGCCTTGAACTCACAGAGCTCTACCCACCTCTGCCTCCCAAGTGCTGGGACTACAGGCATGCGCCACCACTCCCAGCTACATTTTCTGTTCTTTATGACAGAAAGCTAGGCTGGCCTTGAACTCACAGAGCTCTACCCACCTCTGCCTCCCAAGTGCTGGGATTAAACCATGCATTGTTATTTTGAGGTAGCATCAGGAAGTTTCCCAGGCAGGCTTTGAACTCCTTCCCAGTCTAGCTCTGTCTTATCCTGCCTTAAAGTCCCCAGTAGCTGAGATAAGAAGTCAACGATGCCATGCCTGGTTTTGTCCGCCTTCTCTGTCTCCTCCTAGGTATCTGAGGTCTCTTGTTCTGTGTTCTTTTGTAAGACTGAATTTCCAGGACTAGAGAATTGACTCAGTGGTTAAGAGCACTGGCTGCTCTTGCAGAGGACCTGAGGTTCAGTTCCCAGCACCCACAAGGCAGGGCAATTCCAGTATATAACTCCAGTTCCAGGGGATCCAATGCCCTCCATCAGCATTGCATGACACGGGTGTACTCACATACATGAGTACACCTACACACAGGTGTACTCACATACATGCAGGCAATATACTCATACACATAAAATTAAAATAATAAAGGGCTGGAGAGGTGGCTCAGTGGTTAAGAGCACTGGCTACTCTTGCAGAGGACCTGAGTTCAGTTCTCAGCATCCACATGGCAGCTAACAAACATCTGTAACTCTAGTTCCAGGAAATCCGATGCCTTCTTTTGACCTCTACAGGCATTGCACTACATGGGTACACTTGTATGCATGCAGGCAATACACTTAAGCACATAAAATAGAAATGTTTTGTTTTTTTTTTCCCTGGGGCCAGCTTCTTTCCTGGCTAAGAGATGGAAGCAACCTAAGTGTCCCTCAACTGACGAGTAGATAATGAAAATGTGGTTCATTTATACAATGGAGTTTTACTCAGCAGTAAAAAAAAAGATGAAATCATGAAATTTGCAGGTAAATCGATGGAACTAGAAACTGTTATACTAAGTGAAGTAACACAGACTCAGAAAAAAAAAAATCAATGTATGTTCTCCCTCATATGTGGATCCTAGCACCAAATCCTTATAAGTGAGTATGTATCCAGACATAACTACAGGAACCAGGATAATGGAAAGGAAACAGGGAGGAAAAGGAAAAGAAAGAACCTGAAAGATAAGAACAGTAGGAAATAGGCCTTAATAAGGGAGATATGGATAAAATTGGGGGGCAGGGTGTGGTAGCGCACGCCGTTAATCCCAGCACTCAGGAGGCAGAGGCAGAGGCAGGCAGATCTCTGTGAGTTCAAGGCCAGCCTGTCCTACATAGTAAGTTCCAGGACTGCTGGGGCTTCACGGAGACTCTGTCTCAAAAAGACCAAAAAAAAAAAAAAAAAAAAAAGCTTATCTGTATGAAACAGTATATTTTAAAAAGAAGTGGAGATCTTTTTCAAAGGTTAAAACCTCATTCAATTTTATGTTTTACAGGGTTTATACTGAGTACAATAATGTATAACTGTGTTAATTCAACACTGTGAACCTAAAAATTTACAGCCGACTTTGAAAGAGATGCATCTTTGCTCTGGATACTGTTATTGGCTGTGTCAATGCTGTTGTAATAAAATGCTTCTACTAATTATGTGGTTACTAAATAAATTTTTTAAAAAAGAAAAAAATGGGTCTGGAGAGATGGCTCAGCAGTTAAGAACACTGGCTTCTGTTCTTGCAGAAGACCTGGGTTCAAATCCCAGCACACACATGGCAGCTAACAACTGTCCATAACTCCAGTTCCAGGGGATCTGACGGCCTCTTCTGACCTCCACCAGCATTGCACGACACGGGTGCACTTACCTACGTGCAGGCAATACATGCATACACATAAAAGTAAATTTTTTTTTTTTGGTCTTTTTGAGACAGGGTCTCCCTGTAGCCCCAGCTGTCCTGGAACTCACTATGTAGACCAGGCTTGCCTTGAACTCACAGAGATCCACCTGCCTCTGCCTCCCAAGTGCTGGGATTAAAGGTGTGTGCCACCATGCCCAGCATAAATTTTTTAAAATTTTTAAAAAAGAAAAAATAATAATTTTTAAAAAAAGACTGAATTTTCCATCAATCAACCAAGAGCTCCTCCTCTGGTCACAAGCATCTTCCACATGTGAAGGTGGCAGCCCAGTGGGGTACAGTAACTTCAAATGGCTCCTCTTCTCACAGCTCCTAGATTCTAGTCAGCTTTGCATACAACTGGCCTAACTGGCTCTCTGTCCTTGGCAAGCCCCACACCCCTAAGACAGGCAGTCAAGGCCTGTGACTATCTCATTACTCTGAGTACTTCCTCCCCCTTGCCGCATCCACAAGACTCTGCACCCCTCTCTCTTGGTTGCTCTAGCCCAATCCTGTGCAGGGGGCAGGAATCTTTTTGTTCATTCTCTCCTTTCCAGACAACCTCTCTTTCTGGGCATGGTGGCACATACCTGTCATCCCAGCAAGGAGAGATGGAGGCTGGATTAGGAGTTCAAGGTCATCCTTACTTGCATAGTGAGTTCTGGACAAGCCTGGGTACATGAGACCATGCCACAAAACAAAATAAAACACAATTCTCTCTCCCTCTCCCCTTCGTCCTCCCTCCCCTTCCCCCTGTCCCTTTCCCCACTTTGATTCCTTTGATAATCAAGCTTCCATGCCTGTCTACTCCAAGCTTTTGATGAATTCATTCATTCATTCTTTTATTTATTTATTTATTTATTTAATTTATTTATTTTTTGGTCTTTTTGAGACAGGGTCTCCCTATAGCCCCAGCTGTCCTGGAATTCACTATGTAGACCAGGGTGGCCTTGAACTCATAGAGATTCGCCTGTCTCTGCCTCCCAAGTGCTGGGATTAAAGGCACACACCACCACGCCCAGCCTATTTATTTTTATGTTTATGAGTGTATTGCCTGCATAGATGTAAGTGCACACATGTTGTACAATGCCCACAGAGGCCAGAAGAGGGCGACAGGTCATTGCAGAGGACCTATGCAGGTTTTATTCCAGAGCTTACATGGTGACTCAGAAA